TAGAAACAGAAAGGAAAATAACAGGAGGTTTTTGAATTTAACACTCTTAACTAGATGTAGTTCAGAAATATGATTACTTTGGGCAATATTTTAAAAGCTGGTATCAAAACTATACATTAATCTTTCCAGCACACTGAGCTGCATGCCTAGGTAGCAGTAGCACTCAGGAAGAGAGAGAGCAGTAGAAGGCTCTCTACTAATTTATTAAAAATACATTTATTAAAAATACACAGATCAACAACATAAGAATATATGCCTTCTGGTACGTGAGCTTGCTACAATATCTTCCCAGATAATTTTGTATATTAAAAAAATTCTGCTTATCTCCTGTTCTGTCAACCAATGACTTAAATTCCAGAAACACATTGAATTACACAACCTTATCTGTCTGTAACAGATGTAAAAAGGAGTTTTTTAAGAGGAATTTTAGCAAAACATATTAGATAATATATCCAGCTTAATATTCAAGGAAATTCATCTCTGCAATTATCTGAATTTTGAGGATGTGTCAGTGGTATCACTGTTACCTAGACCAGACAGACAAGGATTGGAGAGCTCTCTGCTGCAATACCCTGCCACATTTAACTTTTCCAATGAAGTCTTTGAAGACAAAACCAGAACATGAAGATCTACATCGAAAAAGCCTGAGATACTCCACATAACTACTCTTGTCAGGGGCTTATGAATGTGTTACAAAATGCATTCAATTCACTTCATTCAGTGTACTTTGAAAGGAGTTAATGGTGTTGGTGTCTGTTAATGGAGTCATTTATCAGAGACACTGTAAAACTCATCTTATACAGATTAAAAAAAAACAAAACTAAGACACAGGTATATTGTGAGACACAGAAGATTTACCCACAATAGGTGATCTTGCTTGTTTCTATATAAAACTACGTTAATATTCCTCACCCCAGTTCTGCCAGAGACTACTGCTGCTGGGGGTAATTACTAGAGGGGTAGAGCTGGCAAGAAACGCCATTGTTGTATTCTCAGCTGAGGCAGCTTAACAGGAGTGTCATTTAGGGTAGTAGCTTTATCACCTGGATACATTCACTAAGACCTGGAATAAGACCAAAATTGCCTGCAGAGGGTAATAACTTACGTCCTCTATCATCATAATTCAAATTCAAACCAGCCACCTAAGCTCAAAAGGCTCCAAAAACTGCTTTATTGTTTACTTGCTTTTGATTTAGAAAAGACAACATCCACGTAGTGATTCAATCAGCTTACATTTAAAGAAATATATTCCCTTTTTGAACACTTTATTTCTAATTTGTGTTCCAGTTTATTTCTAATAATAGTTTCATTCTTGTAAACTCATACTGACTTTTCCATTCCTTCACTGGACTGAATTGTTGATTTAGCCAGAAAAAAAAAGACCCACTCCTTTCATCCTATCTTCTGTCAGGATTTTTTTCATGTAATACTCCCAGACTCATACTGATGCACTAACCAGCAAAATAGAGTGCAGTTTTTTCATACCCTTTTTTCTTGTGCAGGTTACACACTGCCAAAACTCTTAAGCCATATTTCCTGTACATAAACAACATCCACAGATCTGCCCTTAAAATCTGGCTCCAGTTACAATCTTTCAAGTTATTCCGTAACGACAGCTTGTCTACACCACTAATAAATAACAAGCAGATTAACAACTCTAGAAAATAAAGGTAGATAGATGCTGTGTTGCAGAGAGGAAAAACTGAGTGAAAAGGTTCAACATTTCAGAAGAACTCAATACAAATAACTTCCTACAAACCAAAAGTAGTAGGTGTGACAATAGGGGAAAAAAGTTAGCAGTACACCTAGCTCATGAAGGCTCTTGGCAGTATGCATGATGGAAGAAGGGGGGAGATAAAAAGAGCTCTTAAAATGAAAGTGTTGTACAGACACAGGTCTATAAATCTGATTTCATACTCAAGTTCCAATTTTGTTACACACTATTAAAAATCAACCTTAACCTGATTTAATGGATACCCAAACAAGGGGGAAATTGGATTCCCCAACCATAACGTGCCAGTGACACTGAGTGATAAATAAAAGCAACACGGCTAGTTCCTGTCCTTAATTCATAGCCTGTGCTTCAATTTCAAACCTGCCTTGGGTAAGGAGGAAAAAAAAAAAAAAAAAAAAGAAGATGGAATAAAAGCTTACTGCAGATTTTGTGCTTTAAAGATTTATTGAGATAGAAAGACTAAACAGAACTGAAAGCACATACAGTAAACAGCACATAAGGACTTGGGGGGAAAAAAAAAAAAAAAAAACCCACGAAAAAAACAACCCAACACAACAACAGCCGGTAAGTGGCACACACAAGTTTCTGAACACGGTGTCTGATATCACATGCAGCCGCTCATGCTCAGCCGGACACTCCCGTGTCACGCCAGCCACCCTGCCGCGCGTCCTGCTAGGACTCAAGGGAAAATCCCCGGCTGCCGTGGAGCAGCGTTTCAGCACCTCGCTCGCCCGGTGCAAGTCATCAGCCCCGAGAGCGCCTCGGAAACTGCGTGAAGCACTCAACTGCCGGGGGACCCCGTGAGGGGACAGGAGCGTCACAGAGCCGGAGAAGCGGAGATGAGACGGGAGGCCGGGCGGGCCCCTCCCGCCCCCGGCGCGGCGGAGGCAGCGGGACCGCACCATGGACAGTGGCTGCGCCTGCCGCCCCCCCCGCCCTGCGCCAGCCGCTGCGGGCGCGGCGGGAGCCCTGCCCGCCCCGGCACCCCGGCCCCGCCGCCGGCCTCGCCTCAACCCGCTCCCCCGGCCCGACAGAAATGCCCCAATCGTAAATACCATTAAGAGGCGATGATCTGCGCCATCTGTCCCTCGGACTTACCGCCCTCTCCACCCCCGGCGCCGCGCCGGATGCGAGCAGAGCGAGCACAAAACGAACGGGGAACCCACCGGCTGCCCCGGCTCCGCTCCCGCTCCGCACACTCCTCGCCGCCGGAGGGGAGCCCAACCATCACCCCGCGGGCACTGCCCCTGCTGCCCCAACAGGATCCATTTTGTCTCCCCGTCCTCCCCACATCCTCCCGGTCACTCCCATCTTGCCCCAGACCTCTACTTTCTGCACCCCACTGGGAGCACACTGCGGCTAGCGGTGCCTGGCGCTGCCCCACGACCACCTGCCCGGGACCCGGTCAGTCCCCCGCCCGGAGCGCCCCGGCAAGGCCGCCGGGGGGAGGCAGCAGCAGGACTTTCGTAATAATAAATTAAACACTTCGGGGCCCGAGCCCGTCCCAGTGGAAATTCCCGTTAGCGGCAGGGGGTGGGGAAGCCCAGCGCCCAGGCGGAGGCTGATTAAATTCTTCCCGGGGAAAGGATTAGCGGGCGACGGAGCCGGGGGTAGCCGAGGCGCGGGGGTTGCTCTCTGCCCCACAGCCCACTCTTCATCACGCGGGACGAAAGGGGGAATGTTCGCTCCGTCCCCCACTCCGGGAGTCTGTCCCCCAGTGCCGGCGGCGGGGCCGAGTTCCCGCGCTCCTGCCAGCGCGCTGGTACCGGCCAGCTACTCACCACGTCCCGCGGCACCTGCTCTCTCTCGGGAATGAGGGGGGATCGGTGCCCCCATCACCTCTCGCGTCTCGGGACCACGCTCTCCTTCCCAGCCGACCCCGGGCATGAGCTGCCCCCTCTCTCTCGCTCCCTGCGGCGCGGAGCCCGGTGGCGGGGCTGCCCCGAGCAGGTGGCTCTGCACGAGCGGCCACGAGCCACCCCGGGGCATCCCGGCGGCGGGGCCGCTTTCCTCTATCCCTCTCCGAGACCCCCACCACGAAGCGCAGCCTGCCTGCTCTCCCCCCCCCATCCCCCCCCTTCTCCCCCCGGCTCCCCCGCCTTCCCTGGGCATCGCCGCCCGCAGGGGAACAAAGAGCCGCAGCCCGGCCCGCTCCCCGCCGGCGGTGCTTACCTGCTGTAGGGCCGCCAGCAGCATCAGCGCCAGCGGCGGCAGGATCCGCGGCGGCGCTCCCGCTACCCGGCACATGGAGGCGAGGAGGGGAGGCGGCAGGGCGGCCCCCAGCAGTTCCGGAGCGCGGCTGAAGCCCGCGGAGCGGGGCGAGGGGAGCGGCGGGGAGGGTCGGGCAGCGGCAGCTGCCGGGAGCTGCGGTCGGCGTCTGCCCCCGCCTGCCGGAGCCGGCTGCCGCTCTAGCTCATGGGCAGCGATGCAGCAGAGGGAGAGAGAGCAGGGGGCGGAGGATGGGTGAAACTCAGCTCTGGGTCAGCCTGCTTGTCTCTCGGCCGAGCCCCCTCCGCGGTGTAGAGGGTGGGCAGGGAAGAGGCGGAGGAGGATGGGCGAACAAAAGGCTGGGAGATAAGAAAGAAGTAGTCGCTGCCGCTGCTGCGAGGCCGGTGCGGCTGCGGCTCCCTTCGGCTGGCAGCCTTCCCCACGCCTGGATCGTGCCCGCCTCGCTCCTCCCGCCGGTGCCCCCCAGCGAGCTCGGGCAGGCGGCTCCTCTCAGCGCCTCAACCCAGGCACGCCAGCACCGCCGCTTCGCCGGCCCCAGCCCTGCTGCATGCTCGCCCCGCACTTTCTCTCTCCCTCTTTCTTCTCCTCCCTCCACTCCTCCCCCTGCAGGCAAAGCCCTCCGCCGAAGCACAATGATAACAATACCCCAGCAGCCTCTGCCTGCCGTGCGCCTGTCTACGCGCTCGCCCGGTGCCTGCCTGCCTGCCTGTCTGCTGCTGTAGCTCCCTCTCCGCCTCCCGTCGCTCCCTGCCGGCCGCACGGCCAATGGGAACGGCACGGCTCAGTGAGCGCCGGGGAAATTCGCCGCTGTGCCTGCGAATAGTGCTGCCCCTCCTCGGTCCCCGGAGCGCGGGCGCTGGAGGCAGCGGGGCAAGCGCCAGCGCCCGTTGACCCTTCAACGCCAACAGCTAAAGAGCGGTGGAACTAAATAAATTCCAACCCGCACACTTGGTGTACTGCAATGGTTTGGGGGGGGGGAGAACTTTCTGGGGAAGTAAGGACCCGTCCCCGCCGTGCTCGGTGGGGCACAGTCAGTGCAGCGAGAAGCTGCGGGGGCGCCGCTGGTGCCCAGCCCGGGGGTCGTGGGACGGCCCTGCCCGCCGCCCGCTGCTGGCGGCTTGGCAAGTCCGCTCAGCTGTTACTGCTTAGCTTTCCTCTTCCTTTTTTTCTTTTTTTTCCCTATTTTTAATTTTTTTTTTCCTTTAGCCACCTTCCGTCCCCCTCGTTCCGTATTTCTTTTTCTAAACTACCTGCTAAATTTTATTAGCAAATTGTTTTCAAAAGCTTGGCTGGGTCCGCAGTCCGTGGGTCCAAAAATGTCAGCGTGCGGAACGGAGCTGGGGAGTGCTGCTGAGCGAACAGTTTACAGAAGCAAGTACCAAGTACTGGGTCACTTGCCGAGCTGGCGCGGATTTTCGCTCGCCCACCATCGACAAAGTTGTTTTGTGTCTCTGCATCAGAGCTTTCATCCTGGGACATAGTAAGGGGAGGATTCGTAGGTATTGGTCCCTGAGCAATCTCATGAAGCGTTCATTCAAAATGGTGCATTATTTATTTTAAAGCATCTTTACACCCGAACTTGCAAGAAAAATACTCTTCTCAACATCCCCCCCATCCTTTAGAAAATAGTGCAAACCGTCACGCACAATGTTTTGAAAGGAAACAGTGGATTTGCCTTTGTATTTTTTGTCGGGGAAAGGCGGGGTAAGTACGTGCTTTTACGATGCTGATTTCATTAGCCTGGGAATTGAAAATAGCGGTCACCCGTGAGCTGCGATGCAGCTGCGCACCCAAGGCAGGGGAGAGGGCGAGAAGGCCCCGGAGCGGCGGGGGGCATGGATGCGCGCCCGCCGGAGCCGCAGCCGCAGCCGCGCCGCCCGCCGCCTCCGCGGGGCACAGCACGGCCCGGGCACCGGGCGAGCCAGACGCCACCTGCGAGGCTTCAACACCAAACGAGACTCAGCCGAGCAGAGGCGGCCTCAACCAGCAAAACAGCCGCCCCCCCGCCGCCACATCCCTCCCTTCCCGCTCCCTCTTTAAAGTTGTAGCCCGTGCAATTGTACCGATCCCAAGAGTTGTGAAGAACAATGAGAGGAGAAAGTCTACGGCTGGTCATGAGTTTCTTGATTAAAATTTAGGCAAAGCCTGAGGGAAAGTAAGCAAGAAGGGCACAGCTGATGTTTATATCCTGTAACAAGGGCGAATTTCCCGGTTTTGCACCTGACAGAGCACGTGTTCGGTCTTTTTAGCAATTCTAAGGAGAAATGCTTGGATTTGCTTATGAAACAGTAACTTTCCCGGAGTAACAGATTCCTGTTTGTATTTTCTGATAGGTAGGCAAAATATTAGCATTTGCTAATGGCTGTATTTGAGCATTTATTCACTTTTACAAGTGTTTTACAGAATGCAAAGCACACATTATAAACTACTCCATAAACCAGCTGTCTGATGAGAATAATTATCTGTCACCTAAATGAGCCTGGCCCCTCACATCCTTCAACCCATCCATCCCTTAAAGGCCTGAAGAAACTAAAGGTTCTGTGGCATATCTGGAAAGTTACCAGATCTGAGCTCTGGCTGATGCTTCTTATGGTTCTACTACTGCCTTTAAATTTACTTGGCAGGATTAATAACACTGGCAGAAAAATTGCTCTCACCAACATAATTTTTTTGAATCTTCTAGCCTTGAACAAGTTAGAATCAAGCAGCGGCCTTCCCTCATTTACTTAAAACCAAAAGTTTCCTACGGCTCATAGTTCTCTACTTCTGGGTATGTTGATAAAGAGATAAGAGAGCATGGGTGGGTAGTACCTTTTGAGGTATAATCTCTGCACCACATCTCTTCATGGTGAGAGGCATTTGTTTGGTAGAGCAGAGGAGAAACTTGTACATTGCTTCCAAACATGAATGATTCCTCAGGGAATCCTTAATCTGTAGCATAAACCCAAGAGAACACTTTTTTTTTTTTTTTCCCACACAGAAATAATATAGCATTAAGTGGGCATAGCTGGAGATTCAGAGTTCATACTGCTGAGATTGTCAACCTTTTTCATGTATATCATGCAAAAGCCAGCAAGTTGGCAACTTCTGGCTAAGATTCAAACAAGTGATTTAGAACTCAAAAGGTTGATCTCCTAATTCAGCCTCAGATTGCCTTTATGTGTTTTAACTAGTATAAAAAGAGTGGACATAAGTTAATGTACAAACTAGGAGATCTCAAGGGCTTCCAGAAAAACCTTGATAAAATTCCATGATTGAGTTGAAGAGAGGATTAGGGTAATTCCCATGTTAGTCATGGAATTGAGTTTCTCTTTCAACTTGTCCAAATTAATTTTCATTCCTAAGGTTCATAAAAAGTCTGTAAAAAAATGAATGCTTTCAGTTTGGAACCTACTAGATTGCTCATGGCTTCAAATATTTTGGAAAAGAAGACCCTTTCCCTTGTGGATCTATTCTTACATTTAATCTGCCAGGTACTGCCACTACCTCTCCTCAATTCAAATTATGCAAATTAAGTACTTTACGGACAGTTTAAGCCCTTATCTGACATTTATGCCTGTGATTTTAGCCACTTACACTGCACACATGCATACCCCCATTCCTATGTCTAAGTACTTACAAGATGGACGTGTAAATGCATTGAGCAAAAGTACTAAAGGCATATTAGTTTTTGCCCAGTTTTCTTGTATTCTTCATGGCATGTGAAGAAATATTTTTATTTGTTTACAAAAAACAAACAAACAAACAAAAAAAACAAAACCAAATCACACAATTAATGGGTCTGTGGATGTCCAATACTTATTAATGAGTTTTATCACAATAGTGGAAAAAGCAGTGAATGTTTTTTCCTCTGACACAAAGGCTGCATGCACCAACAGCTCATCCAGATAAATTCTCCTAACAGAAAAGAAAGAAGTACTAGCAAAAACAAAAATCTAAGTTTTTTAAACAGTGTTTTTTAACGTGGATTCTGTTGTCGTCCTAAGACTCCAAATTTATTTTGAGTAGTCTGTGACAGGCAATGGGGGAAAAGCATATTTGTATATTCTCTGTAGCAAACTTCATGCGTGTGAAATTCCTTAGGGGGGGGAGATCTTTCTGAATAGTAAGATTGTTAGTTGTTGGCACCACATGAAAATGATTTATTGCTTTAGGAAGTAAATAATCATGTATGGCCAAGAAGAAAGAAGTTTTATGTAGATAGCATCGAGTGGGTAAGAAAAACTGAGTGGCAAAGAAACTAAAATAGCTTAAATATTTTAAAAATTATTATAATTTAAATGCTATTGTTAGTGCTGCTGTCTTTCTCTAACTTCAGTAAAATAAGAATGACACTGAATTATTTGGTCTGAGTGTTCAGTTTTTTTAATATACTTTTTCATACTGATCACATATGTGAATAAAACCCCAAAAAATTCTAATTATCATCTTGCTTAGGGAGATATTCTCAGAGAGAGGGGAAAAGAGGTGGTCTTAGCAGTAAGTAAGTAATATTTATTTGACTGTATCTTGTAATTCCTTACAGAACTTGAACAGTTTATCTTGGTGGGCTTTTCTAGCCCTATCATTACCTAAGATGCATAGCTTTACATATTTTTCCAATTTTTCTTACATCAAGGCAGTGAGAGACATGGAAAGGTAACTACAGCTGCAGCATTAGTGTGCTGTTATGCTCACATTTGAAAATCAGCTGGGTTAGGATAGAAGAATGTAGCATACAGCAGATCTGTTTCTGCTTTAGCAAGCCTCAGCAGCATTAATCACTTTTTTCTGAGATATACAGAAGTGTGTGTGTGTGTGTATACACACACACACACACACACACACACACACACACACACACGTATGATTTATAGAAAAGGATTTTCTTTTCCCTTTTCTAGTAGCTAAATTATATTTGTCACCATAGTTATATTTCTGTTAATTGCTAATGAATTTTGTAAAGGATTTCTCTACGGAGAAGAAACTGAGCATATGTAATCCAGATGTGATACAATATATTTGCATATTGTGTAATTGGCTTCATGTTTATACCCTTAGTGTGAAGATCTGAGATCAACATTTTCAAGCTGATTACTTGTGCTTCATTCTTCCAGGAATCTTATTCAGCATCACTGCCCACTGCCTTCAAGCTGTTTGGCATGGAGAGTTTCTATTGAAAATCAAGATAGAGACCTTTAGATCAGCATAGCATCTCTATTCAGTGGGAAATCTTAAAAAAAGAAAAAAAAAATCTTTTCCAGAACAAGGCTTTAATCATATGGTGTGAGAAGGGATGATCGACTTGTAACTGATGATCGACTGAAAGGATGATGACTTCTAACAAGGGCATATGATGATTTCTAATCTCCACAAAAAGAAAGTTTTAGAGTTTCACAGAGCTGCTCCATATTGATCAGGCCAGTAAGTTCTTGCTTCTTAAAAAGCTAGCATCTTAAAAAGGTAGCTTCAGTAAATACTTAAAAAAATTATTTATGATATTTAGTATTTCCTTTTTCTTGGTTTCCTTTCCAATGACATCAGGTAATAATTTTATTGTCTTGAGATCAGAAATCTCAACAATTTTTCTGATTTATGCAGTCTGCAGAGTCCCAGACTCCCTCTTTAGCCATAACCAGCATTCACTGGTGTGAATTAAGCTGTTGACTTCTCTGAAGAGGTATGTATGTAACACCTACAAAAAAGAAAGAAAGAAATTTACAAAAGATAGATCTTACTATTCTTGACTTCTTGGTAATAAAAATTAAAAAACTGTAATTAAAAAGTTGTTTGTAGTAAACCAGCATAGACAGATAATAATTTAATTTAATGAAATTTTAATAATTTGCTTTAATAAAATTGTAAGAGCTGTCATGTGGATTGTCACTTTCATTATTAAGTAGAATTTTTAACACCTATATTTAGATATACCTAATATTTTCCACCAAATCGTTTTCATTTACTGTAGTATTTCCTTAATTTTAGTTAATAAGTTTTAATTCTCTGTTTCAAGCCAAGTGCTTTTTGAAAACTTCAGAAAAATTCTTTGTCCTTTTAGAATAATGAGATCAGGGAAAATATGTAACTTTCGTTTTATTGAAAAATTCTTGTTGCCATTTCAGGTACTTTACTCCAGGGTCTGAAGTAGAGAGCTTAACTTTGGGAGGAGCATGATCCTTACATTGAGGTTGTGCCTTTTTCAATTGCTGTTAAAGTTGGCCAAAATCTGGCATTTCTACAGGTCTGAAAATTATGTTGTTACAGTTCAGAAGAGTTTCACAGCCATATCCCCTGACAGACCCATCTGCATTCAATATACCTCCTATTCCCCCAACAACTGCTGTTTTGCAAAAATTTTGCAAGCAAGCCATCTTAATAGAACAAGTCAGTGTGCCTTTTTTTGAGAATGGAAGAAATGCTCTGAAATTTCAAATGCTTCCTGTTGGATTAAGCATGGGAGGGAGACTAGGTGCTGTCCATATTAATGAGTTTGTTGTTCCCCTTTCAGACAATGTACTCAAAAATTGCAGAATGATTCAGAAGTTTAGAACAGCTAGAAAGTTAGGAAATTGTGGATTCAAGCATCTGAAAAATAGTTTTTATCGACAAGTATATTAATAATACTAGTTCTCTTATTAAGAGCATTTAAAAATTTTCTGCAAAAATTCTGTCCAAGTTAAAATTAGACATGCAGTGAAGTAGCCATGGAGAAATATTTTACATGCTTGCAGCAAAATCTGATGATTTAAAAAAAATCCTTGTACTTTTTAAATCATTTTTGCATTAGTAAGACTCAAAAATGGCTTTAATCTTTAAAATGAAATTTTGCAAATTTTCTATATATTTTGCAGCAATGCAAGCTTAAGTCATCCCCAGATGCTATCTGAATTTACAATACCAGATCATTAACCTGAACTTTAGGAAGTCTCTAAAGTTTTATTCATAGGGGAAGAATATTCTCCCTTGGTTACATTAGACTCTTGGCAGCCTGGAGACGTGGGTTTTTGTCCTTACAGTGCCAGGTATGTCCTGTGAAAACTCAGATCTTTGCAGGCACAGCTGTGTCTGCAACTTAAAACAAAACAAAACAAAATTACCAAAAAAAGGGCTTTTTCCTGTGGCACCGTGATTTGCAACTGTTGACAGCTGCCCACCTTGTCTCTTGCCAAGAGGTCTCCATGCTCAGAGCTGAGGGCAGCATGTGTTCGTACCCTTCTTCACCAGTTTGTTGGTTCAGACACTTCAGCAGCGACGTGAGCTGAAGAGCTGAGCGATGCCCCCAGGTATCTGCCAGGCAGTGGATTAGAAAATGGCATGGTGACTCCGAGGCCACGGAGCGGGATGGATTTAGGTGTTAACAACTGTCACGGCAACATGAGACAGGGCTCCTTTGTCAAAACCCTAAATCTGCGTCTTTCCTGCTTATAAACGCCCCTGTTGCTCTGATTCTTAAGATTTTCTAAAGCCTTCTGAGTTTACATTCTATTAGAAAACTTTCCTACAAAATTTCTATAAATAACATATTGTTTTACGTTCCTTCATAGGAGTGGAGAAACTTGATGTACTAGTAGTTTGTCCAATGTCTTTGGAGAAGTGGCCCATTCACTCTCCAATCCACTGTCACCTTTAGAAAAGTATAAAAGTCAGAGTCAGAAAATAAACCTTCTTCTTTACCTTACAAATAGCAAGTAACTCACGTTGTGCTTTCATGTGTCCTATAGCAACACGCCCCTTTGCTGCTTTTCACCTCAGGATCAGTGGGAGTTCCTGAGGGCTTGTCAAGTTTGAAAGTTGGTCTGTTTTTTTCCCCAGAGTCTTAAAAAAAGTATTTAGGAGTTTAAGTTAAGGATTGATTTTTTTTTTTTTTTAACTGTAGCCCTAATTTATTTTTGGTGTTAAAGATCACAATTCAATACATGTGCAGATTCTGAAAACAACTAACTAGCTAATATAAAAAATCTAGGACTTTAGTTCTTTGGCTTTAAAATAAAATCTCTTTTTCTCCTTTGCTAATGGATCATATTCATTGTTTTTTTATATTTTCTGAAGTCAGAAGGGGCCATTTTAATAATTTATTTTGACTTCATCAAAGCACAGGCTTAAAAATATTACCTAGTAGTTTTCCTAACAAGGCCAAGAACTTGTGCAGAGCAAGACGATGCTTTTGAGGCAGACGCAGAAGCTTGATTTAGAGTGGCAAGTCTTGCTAGTTATATTTTCCTAGTAAAATGCAGTTCTTCTGTGAGAAGTTTTCACAAGTCAGGGACAGACTTTTTCCACCTAGGCCTTTCTTTGAGCCACTGTGGAGAGGATGCACTATGAGTTGCTTCTACAACCTCGTCTGTTCACAGTTCCCGAGCTGCAGGCAACAGCAGGGAGCTCAGCATGGACTAAACAGCCAAGTGTTCACTCTGATTTGCAGAAGGATTTTGTGTCCAGCACTGAGCTTTTGTGCTACTTCCGTGGTACCTACATTGTACTGCAGCTATTGCATAGCCAAGAATAGTTTGTGGAGAAAAATAAATATTGAAAATGCCTCACAGGGTTTTTTGTCAGGCATTCTTCTGGCATGCTTGTGATTTGCCTTAAAACTGTTACTTTGGAAACAAAGCAGAAGTTGCTGCCTAATTAGATATTTGTTATTTTCTACAAAAAAAAAAAAATCTGATTTTCATTTAAAAATTGCTGCTGTTGGAAAGTCTAATGTTGCCTGTACTAAGTGGATGGTTAGCCTTCTCTTTAAAAATGTTGCAGGTTAATGTCATAGAATCATAGAATGGTTTAGGTTGAAAGGGACATTAAAGGTTGTCTAGTGTCAACACCTTTGCAGTGATCAGGGACACCTTTCGCTAGACTAGATTGCTCAGAGCTCCATCCATCTTGGCCTTAAACCCTTTCAGGGAAGTAATGAGTAAGCTATGTTTATCTAACTTGTGTAATTTCTAGGCATTCACTCTTGTTAATTTTTTCAGCACTGGAAGAGTTAACTTTTTCATGTGTTTTTTCACTGTATTGGAACAGACCAGTTACCTTTGATAAAATGAAGCTTTTCCTCATTAAGCTAACTAAATCAAAGTCTTTGAGTATTTCATTAAATACATAGTTCCCAATAATTTAATAAATGTTCCAGTTCTTCCCTGACCCTCATTTCAACATGCTGCTTGAAATACTGGTACTAGAACTGCATGCTGTATTTTACCACCAGCTGTAGTAATTTGAAAAACAGAAGTAATACATGTACCAGACTCCTACTCAGTGCTCCCATGTTAGCAGATACAGTGATCATATTAACCCTTGCATCACCCCCTTGCTTTGAGTGTGATGACCAGATGACCCCCCATCAGAACCAGTTTCCCAGAATAATATTCTTTGCTCAGAAACACGCCCTTCAGTATTTGCTCTCGGGCCAGGGAGAGCCCTCATTTTCCTTTGCACTGAAGCTTTTGTAAATACATTCTTTGCAGTTCCACTCCTGGCAGTCTTCCACTTCCATCCCACGCTCATCACTTTATATGTCTCCGTATTCTCTCCTGACACTGATTTGGAGTCATCACCAGATTGCCTTTGCAAATAAATATCCTTGGGAAGCCAGGAGTGCTGATAAATAATGTTGAGTTTCCATATCCATTAAAGCAGCCATGTCCCCGTTGATTCAGCTTGAACATATATTAAGGCTCTGAAGACAAGAATGTGTAATCTCACCTGGAGATGAGTCAGTAAATTGTAAACACATACAAGGCATTCAGAACTAGTGATGAAATCTCACCAAATAGGAGTCCTTGTCTCAATGGCTCAGAAATGGCAACAAAAGAACCCGGAGGATGAGAAGAACAGAACTTATGATGATGAACGTGCCACGGTTGTGAGGAGTCTGGATCTTAGTTATGTCAAACCAAAGAATTATGTATTGTTTAGTTATCCATCAAAAACACAATTGATATGATCCTTGGCTGTAACTTTGCATTGTATGCAAAGAATTACAGGCCTTGGATTGTCTTGGAGATTTGTTTGTACATATCACTTTGCTTTGCATCTGTTCCTTCTTGGTGCTGTTTCTTCCCGAGAGTCAGGGTACTGTGTAAACGCCATAAACTTCAGCCTGGACTGGAGCAACATATAACTTTTGGAAACAGTTAATTCTTTCAGTGGCTTTTTCTCACTTTTCATACACATCTATATAATGACTCAACACCTCTCTCTACTCACAGTACTGGCTCTTCTCAAGGAGTGCTAGGGAAACAAAAGTCTGGCAATAATTTTGCTGCTGGAAGGCAGTATTTTAATAGAATCATAGAATTGTTTAAGTCTGACTGAGGATTCACTCAGTCCCAATAAAGATATTAAACAGGACTGGCCCCAACTCTAAGTCCAGCTGCCAGCTGGATATAACTCCATTCACCACCACTCCCTGGGCCTGGCCATCCCAACAGTTTTGGTGCTTTTACCAGTGAGCACTGCACCCACCCAAGCCATGAGCAGCCAGTTTCTCCAGAAGAATACTGTGGTGATCAGTGTCAGAGGCTTTTCTAAAGCATCGGTGGACAACAACTACAGCCTTCTACTCATCCACTAAGTCACACTGTCACAACAGGAGATCAGGTCAATCAAGCAGCACCTGACTTTCATGAACTCAGGATGGCTGGGCCTGATCTCCTGGTTGTCCTGTATGTGCGGCATGGTGGCACTCAAGGTGATCTTCTCCATAACATAAACAGCCAAAATCACATTACAGAGTAAATTCGGACACATTGTAGGACATTAAAAACTGCTTGGCTTTAAACAGCTGTTGCAAAATGCTATTAATTTTACAGTGTATTTGAAAATTATTTGCAGGTATAATAAAAAAGAGCTGAAAACTAAGGGCACAGACTCCA